TTTTTTTTTTTTTTTTTTTTTTTTTTGGTTTTTCGAGACAGGGTTTCTCTGTGTAGCTTTGGAGCCTATCCTGGCACTCTGATCTGGAGACCAGGCTGGCCTCCAACTCACAGAGATTCATTCGCCTGCCTCTGCCTCCTGAGTGCTGGATTAAAGGCCTATGCCACCACCTGGTTTTTCTTTTTCTTTTGGCACTAGGGTCAGCATCTAGAGTCTAGGCTATGCTAGCTAGGCAAATGTTCTATCACAGTGGATAACGTGCACTGTCTTACTTTAATATATTTTTGTAAAATCTACTTTTATTAGAGCCGGACATGGTGGCTCACACCTTTCATCCCAGCACTTGGGAATCAGAAGCAGGCAGATCTCTGTGAGTTAAGGCCAGCCTGGTCTACAAAATGAGTTCTAGGACAGCTGAGCTGTTATACAGAGAAACCCCATCTCAAACAAAACAAAACAAAACAAAAACAAGCCTTCTTTTATTATTGTATTTCACAAAAGCAAGTGCTCTAACTCCTGAGCTTAAGCCCTTTGACTTATGTTTAAGATACATACAAACAAGGCATGGTGGTTCATACCTGTGCAATCCTAGAACTTGGGAGGCACAGGCAAGAGAAGCTGGAGTTCAAGGCTAGCTCTGGCTATGTAATGTAGGTCAGCCTAGGCTACATGAGACCTTGCCAGGAAAAAAAAAAAAAAGCAAAGAGTTAGGAAAATGGTTCAGTTGGTAAAATGTGCATAAGGCTCAGAGTTGAAGAACTCACATAAAAAGCATCAGGTGCTGTGTGTCTGTAACCCCATTGCTGGGAAGGCAGAAACAGCTAGATTCCTTGAACTTGCTGGTCAGCCAGACCAGCTTAATTGCTGAGCGCCAGGTACCACGTTGTCTCAAAACAGAAGGTGAAGAGTGATTGAGGAAGACACTTGTCAGCCTCTGGCCTCTATACATGCACACACGCACGCACGCACGTGCTCCTCCCCACATGCACACATGTACACACACAAATATATACAGAGTGTTTTGGGGTTTTTTGGAGTGATTTTTTGTTGTTTTGTTTTGTTTAGAGATGCATCCAGTAGCCCCTAATTGATTACTTGCTTGATTGCTTGCTTTGCAGTGCATGCTGGCCACATAGAGCTGAAATCTCAGACCCCTCAACGTCATTGAAGACCATCACTAATGGTGGTCAGCTGGGACTGATTTTCATCAATATCACGTATATCCTCATTCCATGGTTCACTGAGCCCTTACTGTATCCCAGGCTCCTGAGGAAGGCCAGGAGGACAGAGAGAAGGAAAACAGTGTCTTCCTGACTGACTCTACAGTGCCAGGATGGGGGTTCTGGAGGGAAAGAACAGAGTGTTTTGGGCAGTGACCAGGGCCCCTGCTTGGACCCAGTTTTGTGAAAAGTCATCTCTACAAAGGTGACATTAAAATGGCAATCTCTGCAAGGAGCTATTTGTTCGAGGCATGTATGGAAAAGCATTCTGTGCAAAGGATCAGCACGAGCAAAGGCTGGAGACTACTTAATGCTGCAAGAGTGTGAGGCAGTGGTGAGGCTAGGCAGGCAAGGAGAGTGGCGAATATATGCAGGACTTTGAGCTGGATTCTTTGGGTGACCTGGACACAATCCTATCCAGGGTGTTAAGCCAGAGCTCTAGGCTGAGGGGTTAGATGATAAAGGCCTAGCATGCATAAGGTCCTGGGTTCAATCCCCAGCATTGGGGAGCCTCAGTGACTAACCTGTGCCTCTGAGCCTTACTGTGAACTTAACAGATATGCTGCCCAGAGAGGTCAAGGGATTTACCCAAGTGAAACAGCAAAGCCACATCAAAGGTGAGATCCCACACCAAATGTCAGCCTGTGAGCCCTAAACCTAGCCTAGGCTCTGGAAGACACTAAAGGAGGAGTTTGAGGACACCCATTCAAACAAGAATCTGTGGAGCGTCTCAGCTCGCCCCCCACCTCCACCCCCACCCCAACCCGGTGCCCGGCCCTGGCGCTGGGAGACAGGAAGACCTAGCAGGACGGTTGCAGGCAGTCCTGGGGTGCCCCATCTCTTCAGCTTTAGAAATTCCTGCAGGAGTCACGTCCCCTCGCACCCCGCCCGGCAAAGTCGCAGAAGAACACAAAGGGCCGTTGTTTCCTGCCTGGCCGCCGGCGTACTCCATTTCCCTCGTTTGTCTGCTCGGCAGCAGGAGCAAAGGGCAGCAGCCACCAGAGGCGTCTGGGAGAAAGCGCTGGCCGCCTCGTTAATGGGCCGCGGGGGACTCGGGCTGAGAAGGAGGATGCGGGACCCGGGACCCG